GTTGTGAGGCGTTTTTAAAAAAAAAAAAAAAAAGGCAACAGAAAACAAAAAATAAAGCCTGAGTGTTTAGTAGTTGTCTTCCGTAGTTGCAATTTGCCGTGTCTAACTGGACAATTATAAAAGGGGGGACGTTTTAGTTAAAATATTATTTTAGAAAATCAAAGGAAAAAATTCATGAAGGTTATGATTAGCTGTATTACTGAGTTTATGAATCATATGTGCACTGCCAGTTATGTTTTGTTTCTATTTCATGCAGGCGTTCAAAAATGCTGCTGCTGATCAGCAGTTTAACCTTGAAGCTGCAATTAAAAACATTGACAAAATGTCCAATGAGCTGAAGAAACTCAATGGTAATTCTGAGTTCAGCATCCAGCTAAACGAGAAGCTGTTGAAGGCGTTGTTTTAAAAAGCGTGCAGTTGTGAATGGCTCGTGTGTTCCATGTCCTACAACAGTTTTTCAATCTAATGAAACAATCCAGTTGCTCTTTTGTTTTGAAAAATTAACGAGATGGTAGTTACGTAGAAATGGAATCGTTAGCTGACCATGGAAAAAAATCTGTGAGGTAGTCAAAATTATTCCTTTGCAGGGACAGGAATGGTCTCCTAATAGAAATATCACCAGTGTGCTAATACCAAACTTTATGTAGCTGTCTTGAAGTAAAGAAAACAAGGCAACCCTTCAAATTTTTGAACTAGTTGACAGATGAACACTTCAAAAAGTGCTGTATATAAATTGCCGTTCACTTAGCATCTACCATTCAATAAATACCATGATGATACATTGCCCTTTGTCTTTCAGTGGAAAGCCAGCTACTGCTTTGTGACCTTATTTTGAATTTCAACCATCCTATGAAGGCCAAAGATTTAAGGGAAGCTGAAGAAAAGAGTTGGAGTTTGACAGATTAAGTAATAACATCCATTTTCATGCATCATCTTCTACTAATACTGCTTCAGTTTGAACTGTAAAATGATAGTACGATTTCCTGCAGTTAGGCTGTTTTTATTTTAAACTGAAAAGGTGGAGTGGAAAAATGCTATAAGTAGGTTATTGATTTTGAGAGGCTTTTTTTAACCCAGAGTAAGCCCACTAGGGCCGGAAAGACCGGTATCATTAACTAGAAAGGTCAGGAAACTGGGCATGAAGTTTTTCCCCTGTGGTTGTCTCCCTTTAAACAAAGACACATTGGAACAGTAACAAAAGACTTTAAATTACTTCAAGTCAAGTGATTGCTCTCTTATCTCAGTTGTGCTCTGGAAAATGGGATAAGAAACAGTAGTAAAGGAGGAACTGCAACTTGTCATTTGATCTGCCTTCCTCATTCTAAAAATTTTGCTGAGAAAGTGGGCCAAAGAGCAGATTACTTCTGGAACACCGAAAGTACTTTTATTCTAGTTTCCGTAGTGCCTTTCTAATGCACCTAGCTACAAAAGAAAGGAAGAGTTAGTGCTCTAAAGACTCTATACTGAAATCTCCTTGGCCCAAAATTTGAGTAGCCAGTATTTTCCTGTAGTTCATTACAATTAATATTCAATCGTACTTTACTTGTGGACATGTCTGAATGTTGAGGTGTGTTTTTATTGATATACAAAATGTATTTCTCTGAGTAATCAAATCGAGATTTACTCTGCTGAAAAAAATATGCAGTGTTATAATTTGTTATGCTGGTTTCCATTTTATTTCTCTTTCGCTAGTGAGGTGATTTAAAACAAATAAAACACAGTTCCATAGGAGGTATTTCTGGGTTGTCAGACTTTTCAAGGCAGTGCAATGGGATAGAATTACAACCTCCAGCTCCCATAATCAGTGGTAATATGACGGATGTTGTTCTTAATGTTAACATTTTTTGAAAAACGTACCTTATAACTGACTTTTCTTTCACAAGATTAGTAGTGAGCTTTCAAAAACTATTGGGCTAGAAACAGGTTTTGTCAGCTGAAGAATTTTTAAATTTTTATTTTTAATCCTTTTTTTTGACTCATAGTTGCATGGAAATGAAATTTGCTAACTTTGAATTCCAGCTCCCAGCTAAATATATTCGAAAGGAAGATAACATTTACAAAACATAGATATTTAAAGTAAAACTGTTTATGAAACCTGATTATCTTATCTCAGAAGCTATACAAATTACATGGAAGATATTTTTCTGCCTTGAATTTTGGTTCAAATGTTTCAAGTGACAGAGACACAAATGTTTTTAAAGGAGAAAAAATATGCCAAAGTCTAACATAATTATCAAACCAAGGTCTTGTCAGAAAACAAACATTACCAGAAAACCAAGGCAAAGAGTTGGATGAATCCCACTTAACAAAGGAGAGGGAAAAGCTCTTGCTATAGTATGGTTCAGTGGTCCTCAGATGCAACTTATATTTTAGAAACAAGAATGTTACTGGTTTTCTTGAAAAAATAGAGTAAAAACAGAAAGCGGTTGTATAAGAGGAACTAAGTTTAGCCCGATTGTGTCGGTCTGCTTTCTAAGAGATTTCGGTGTGTTCTGTCAATTAAGAATCACATGATGATGATCTTCTTGATAGGTCTGCTATGAAAAAGCAGTTGCTTAATTTAGAGTCAGAAAGACGCAGCTAAAGAGAGGTCTGTGTTAAGGGAGCAAAGCTTGTTTCTGAGTGAGGTTAGAGGATCCTAGGAGATGATACATAATTCCGATTTGTGGGCTAAGACATGCCATCAGTGAATCATCAGTGGTATGGCAGAGAGAACACGATACCTGTAGGTGTTTTATTTTTCTAGAAAACTGTGAACAAAGACAGTTTCACAGCTGAATAACACAGACACGGATCTTGACATTGCTGCATATCCAGGGTTGGGAGTTCTTTTGGGGTCGCTGAAACCTAGGTGTCTTTAGGATGCACGTCAGAGTCCCGGTCTTTTCATTGAAGTGGCCACAGCTAGATTTATTGGGAAGTGTATTGTGGGAAAAAATTGGGCTTTTATTGTCTTTTGTCTACCTCTCAACTTTGACAAGGTTTGGATCTACTCCGTATTGCTTTAAATCACATAATTGCTGCTGCAGTTCTGATCTGAAAAATAGCTTAGTTTGGTTTGTTGTTTGTTTGTTTGTTTGTTTTTCTCTCCTATGAAAGCAGAGACCTGTGCTGGTATTTATTTCATGGGTCCTCTAATTTGGCGTGGAAATCATGTCAAGAAGGCACACATTTGTTGGAAGAAAAAAAATTCTCATGTACTGTATGATTAGTGGACAGTAATAAACACATTGTAGGAAAATCAGATTTATAGAGTACTGCATTTAAGGCACAATTGAAAAATTACATTGTCCTTTTTCCTTAAAATTGAAAGGATTTTTAATGACTTCATGATTTTAGTTTGCTGAAAAAGGAAATATCCTGAAGTTTACAATCTTCAACAGGCTTCAATGCTATATGTGATCTTCGTTAAGGTCTCATTTAAATACGTCCTGCAGCATATTTTAACATGCACTGGTTTCTTGAACCTCTGTCTTTTCCATCAATCAGAAGAAGAGGCGTTCTTTGGAAGTAATCAATGATATCTGCTACGGAAGAAAAATCCTGTGGGATGGAAAAAATGAGAAAGCTATAAAAAAATTGTCAGAATTATTAGTAATTAGTAAAACCCAAAGTTTTTTTTTAACTCTAAATGTTTAGCAGTCTTATAAGGTCCAGTAAATACTATCAGATCAGCTGTTTTCATTCCTGCCATGACCTGTAGCTCAATAACTGATAATGTAATGTGCATACGACCTACTGCAGTGCTGTGTAATTAATTTACGCAGTCTTGGCCTGTTTAATATATGATGTTGTCATTCTGCTTGACATGATGATTGCAGCTGAAAGTTCAAAAAGTTGGCTGATAAATTCAGAGCGCTCTGACTCGATCAGAACTGCAGTACCCGTGCTGACGGGTCGGTCTGGTGCCGGTAAATCCAACGCGGTACTGCTGGATGTAAGGAAACCAACAGACTGGGAGGAAAGCAGTAAAGGTGGCAGATATGGATTTGCTCTCAACTGTGCATTTCCCTTATCTGGTATCTTAGCGGTAAACAAACATTCCCTAAGCAGGTATATGGATTTCTAATAGTTGTGTTCTAAGGCTATCCCTTCATTCCCTGAGTGCAAACAGGAGAATCTGATTTTACTTCCAGCAGTAACATATTCTATCAGGAATAACTCTAAGACAGTAAGCGGAATTCCACTAGAGTAAAACAGCTGCCAGGTTCAGTAGCCTGGCACTTAGGAATGAGACAGGAGATACCTTAAGATGAAGGGAAGTATTGTGAAAAACACATAGTACCTCTTTTCCTTTTAAGCCAGTTCCTAACAAATACATGTGATTTTGCTCCTGGTAACGAATCTGGATGTTGTATACTTTATCTCTGTACAACACCATCAGTACATATGGATGAGTAACAGTTTTTCTTGAGCTGTCTCTTACCAAGAATGTTCCATCCTGGAAGATGAAAAAGTGAAAGATGACAAATAAATATCACTTCTGGCTTTGATCAGCATAACAACCTTAACTAGAGCACTCATGCTTTTAAGTGTTTCTTCTTTCTGACACCTCTTTCCTCCTGGTAACAGAAACTGCGCTATTAAAGAGTTTAGGTCATTTCTCAAATGTTTTCCCTTTCAATTTGCTACTTAAAACTTTCCTGTCTGATACAAATGCAGGTTTTTAGGGAAGAGAAGAATGGTGTTCTATGAGGAAGAGACTTCATTAAAGGAGGAAGTAAAATATCAAAGACCAAACCTCACATCACTTTAACCAGAAGGCAGGTTCATTTCTGGTAAGCGCCAATCACGGTTCCTATGTGATCTCTTTACAGACAGCCTAAAATAATGATAGTGTCTGTGTAATTTTGGTAAAGGCAGTGATACTATCTCGCTCTCTGTGCTTTTCTTCATTTCTGATCTGTTTTACCAAGTCTTCCATTGAAACGCCCGTTCTTAAAGGCATTGAATGTGATCTCATAAGCTGGACCTTAGTACAAGCCATTGAAACACTGTACACGTCATCTTCAGCTCATTGCATCTGCTGTGAAGAATCATAGAGCAAACAGATTTCCCGCAGTGATGGGATACAATTTGGTTCATCTCCACATGCACAGCTAAGCCTGGGTTTCATCTGTTTGAATCTGTACTTCGTTTTGCTGGTAAATACGGCCTAGAAAAGGGTGGGATTCATCTCATCTAATTCAAGCTATCTAAAACTTGGAATTTGCAACAAATTCCTCGCTGGTGACAGAGAACTATTTCCAGAGAACACGTTACTCCTCTTAAGAGAGGCGAGGTGAAACTGCTTGCTGGAGACACATAATTTGTTCTCTTGGACTATGGAAAACAGCAGCCTTCACGGCTGGTTTAGGCCAGATGTGTAACTTTTATGTGGGTAAAGACATTCAAGGTGAATCCCTCACTCTATGTATCTATGTTGGGGCTGTAACCTTACCGCGTTATTTACCTTCACTCTTCCCGTATGACTGCAGGGACATCTAGCTAGGAGATGGTGAGAATCACCAACGATTTAAAGAGTACCTTGTTTATTTTTCGAAGAGCTGCTTCTGCTTCTGGCCGGCTAACATAAGCAACGTACCATTCATCATTTAGTGAGTCCTGTGTTTTTTGTGAGAGAGGATAAAGGAGAAAGTCGGCTGTCAATGAATTAGCTTGTGATGTTAACAACATACAAATAAGGAGAGAGAAATTTGAATGTGAAGGATATTTGGGTTTATGTGCAGAATCTCTGAAGGTATGAGCCGCAGGGATCATGCTAGTGTATATGACTGTACGGTAAGTGGCACTAAATGATTTTAAAATTATTTGCTCACTTCAATAAATGTGAAAATATTACAGACCTAGCTATGATATGCCTGCAAGTAAGCTAAGAAAACAGGTATTTCCAAATATTTTCAGTAAAAGATAAATTTTCAGTGACATTTTCTCTTGTCTGCCTGGGACACTAGCATCCTTTGCCTTAGTTTCTCTGGGTTTTTTAAAAATAATTTTATTTTACTTTTTCTTTTTTAACTATCATCTGAGACAATAATGCAGACTTCCTGTGAGCATACCATGTGTGGTTGTCCAGCAGCGTTATCACCAGGGGTGGTTTGCTCTGAACTTGTCATACTTAAAGAAATGTGAAACAAAAATGCACTTAAAGGGTATGAATTCTTTACTCACCAAGGTTTTGTGGAAGGAGAACTGAATATGTAATGCCAGTTGAAGGCAATTGTGCAAAACAAGTAGTCCAGCAAACAAGTGTTTTTCTTATTTTGTTCTACTGGATTTTTGCTATTGTTTTTCTTGGTAAAGACAAAATAAGGCACTAAAGCTTGACACAGAAAAGGAAACTGAAAGCAGATACTAACATCCTGACAGGGACTACTAACTCGAAAAACAACGCTGAAAAACATTCTCTCTCAAAATCAGAAAATTTGCTGTGTTTAGCAGTTATGGTTAATAGTTGTAATGTTTTGTACCTCATCTTCTTCCACGTTTGTTTGGTGAACAGTCTGTCTGCTAGGAACTGGCAATGGAGGCCTTATGTCAGCTATGCCTCTTGAAGGAGACCTGCTGTTGTTGCCTTCAAAGGTATAAAAGCAGAAAAAATGTTAAACCCAGAAAAATAATTTCATCTGTGGAGTGCATACAGGGTGTACAATCTTGATTTAATGAGATGTGAAGAATTTATAGCACTTTGATACTGAGACATTTTGAATTGATTTGAAATCAGGTTTAGGCTGCTGTATGAGAACCAGGTTCTTTACATAAATTCATCCTCGGTGCACAGGGGCTTGAACTGAACTCTTGCAGTTCAGGTTTCCTTAAAATCAGATGAACTTGAAATAGAGGCTACACCTTTTTAGCTTCTGTACCACGATTACTCAGTTGAGAGCATCTCCAGTTTCTTTAGAGACCGTTAGAAGTAACGTTGTCTCTTTGCATTCCTTGCTTTCTTAGCATGCGGAAACTAAAAACTGTCACTGTAAGACATCATTGGCAGCTGTTACCATATGTGAAAAATTATTTGCAAAGCAATTGATTTCTAAGCTTCCTTTATTTTTTACTTGTTATTACAAGATAAATATGCAGCATATTTCACATGGAAAGTGTTTTCTCCCTTTTTTGAGAGTATTAGTATACCACAATGACTTGCAGGTAGTGTTGCTCAGCTCTCAGTAGTGTTAGCTATATCGAAAAAGGTGTTTATATCAAGTTTTCACAATGGTTTAACTAGGCAGTAAGCCCAAGTTTCACGGGAAAAAAACATCTTAGATTCAGACTAAGTTACACAAGATGCTTTTCAGGAACTTGATAGTTTTCTGTTCACAGTCCAACCAGAAACATCCATAGAAAAAAAAAGCTTGCATTAACTGCACTGAAACCACCTTTCAACCTTCAGTCATTTTTTTGTACAAAAGATGTAGGAATGCAGGATACAAACCTAGATGTAAGCGTGGTGGTAGTGAGCCACTTGAAGACAGGTTTCTAGCACTGTTTAAAAAAGAAAAAAAAAGTAGTCGGTATAAATACAACATTGCTATACAACGTTTCTGTGCTCTGATGAACTGATCTGAACTTTGTGCCTGTTTTACAGAACGTGAGATCTCCTTGAGAGCTGTGCAGGGTGAGGATAGCCTTCTCTTTCTTCTTTTTGTTTCTCTTTCTTCTTTTTGTTTCTCTTTCCTTTTTTTTATGTAAGTAAATCCACCATTAAGTTTACTTGAAGCTCAGCATCTGGGAATAAGGTAGAGGGAATCAGTAATGGGCCACCAAGACTTCAGTATCAGGACCAATGCAGAAAACTGCTTCAGCTTGTTGAGTGGTCACAGGGAATGACTGCTTTATTCCCCTGAAGCAGGAAGCACAGGCAACAGCTTGTCAGATGTTTCTTTCTGTGGGGTTCCGCTTATAGAGCCATTTTTCTTGTGGCTTCTATAACATTGTTGATGAAAATGCAGTTTCTCATCACTAATGTTGGAACTATGGATGTGGAGCTACTGGAAAGAGTCCAGTGAAGGGCCACTAACACGGTAAGGGCCTGGAGCATCTCACGTATGAGGAAAGGCTGAGGGAGCTGGGACTGTTTAGCCTGGGAAAGAGAAGGCTCAGGAAGGATCTTATGAATAAATACCTGAAGGGAGAGCCTGGCTGTTTTCAGTGGTGCCCAGTGACAGGACCAGAGGCAGTGGGCACAAACTGAAACACAGGAGGTTCCCTCTGAACATCAGGAAACACTTTTTTACTGTGAGGGAAACTGAGCACTGGAGCAGGTTGCCGAGAAGTGTTGTGGAGTCTCTGTTCTTGGAGATATTCAAAAGCCGTCTGGACATGGTGCTGGGCAGCCTGCTCTAGGTGACCCTGCTTGAGCAGGGGGGCTAGACCAGAGGATGTCCAGAGGGCCCTGCCAACCTCAACCATTCTGTGATTCTGTGAGCTATGAGCCGACAGTGGCACAGAGCTCATACCCACAGCACCATCACAGTTCCATGTGCCTATGCTTTCCCTCCTGTGTTCATTTTTATGCTTTTTGTTAGAAAATCTACAATTCCCTTTTACGACCTAATCCCAGAACCTAATCCAGAACTTCTCAAAATAGAGAGTCCCAATCTTAATTTTTTTTTTTAATTTCTTCGCCTAATTGGGAACAAACTGCCCGCATGCTTTTCCTTTACAGTTCATATTTCTCTTCTGCTTAAATGAACTATACAAAAATCTCTGGGATTGATATGTTAATTATGTTTGCAGAACAAAAACACCCTATCATGACTTGTGATTCATGGGAGAGAATCAGCCAAATGGGGGCCTCTGCTAAAGCAAAATTTGGCAATGCCGTTTGAATATAAGCAGAAGTGTTCATCATAGAAATAGCTCATATTTGCATATGACCTTGCTATTGCTACTGCAATATTTGTTCTACTGGGCTGTCAGCAGTTCCAGAGGATGACGGTAAATGGGAGGAATTCATCAAAGAGCCATTAAAAAAATACAGAGATGAGAAAATGTACTTCAGACTTAGACTCAAGGAGCCCGCTCCAACTCATCAAAGGCTAAGTCTGTTGCACACTACATCAGAAATCAAAATTTAATTAAGGGCTCTTCCATCTAGCAAATGAAGACATAACAATCTAATATTTGGAAGTTGAATCTAGGAAAAATCATAGTTGAAGCAAGGTTCACAATTTCGAATAGGAATTATTAACCATTAGAGTAAAATTTAGTAAAAGGGTGGTGAAATTCTTTCAGATGCAGCTGTAGACGACTAAGGTTGTGGGGTTTTTTAGTTTTGAACCAATTAATAGTTGCAGCTCTAGCGCTTAGGATCCTAGAGTGTGCACAATCCTTTTAAAGAAGGACCTCTTTGACCTACATCCTGCACGGTTTTGTAGGAGAAGATGATCCCTTCCCAAAAGGGCTCGTCATTCTTATGGATTCTGCAGGCAATGGAAGAGATATCTCAGGAATGGAAACATTGTACCATGTAGGCTCGAAAATACTTCTTTGACATAAAACTGAGAGGTTTGCATTTTTTTCTTGGTTGCCTGATGTACACTGTCTGCTTCACTGAATATAGAGCTTCAATTATATGAAGGATTCTCCTTGACAGTAGGAGCAACACAAATTAACAAATTAGTGGAGGCAAGGGCATAGCCTGAAAAATAACGGACTACTTCAAGTAGTTACCTTGTGTTCACCTGAGAACCCTGTAGCCACGTACTTATTATTATTTGCTAAATTGCAAAGAGTCTGAGATTCAAAAAGAATGATGCGCTAATGGGTGAAACAAACCTTTCTGCAGCAGGCATACTGTTGGATCCTGGCTTAGGTGGAGGCTTGACAGATTTGGATGGGAATGTATTGGAGTTGTAAGGGGGCAAAGATAACTGCGGCACTGGTCTTTGGGGTGCAGCTGTGGAGAGGAAGAGAAGGAAACTTAAAACTTATGTGAGACATTCTTAAATGAGGTAGAATGAAGAAATGCTGTCACATTACTGCTGTTTACTTAGATAGACATGATGGAGTAAACTGTTCTATAGAAAGTCCTTGATATGCTAGTTACAGATTGTAAACTCATATGGCCAACTGAGAACTGAAAATTCAGTATTATTAAAATTAAAAATAAACTGCAACAGGCTTGAGCAACATATTCTAACTTCTATTTTGGATAAGCCGCAATTCAGACAGATACCTTAACTGCAGTAGAGCTGAAGCTGGTACGTAACCGTGTGCTCTCTGTTACGTTGCTTCTAAACAGTGGATTTGAAGTTACCTTTTTGCATTTCATTCCTTTGTGAGATTTCTCCCATATCATCATAAACAACAGCATAAAATAAAACATTTTCTTTCTGTGGTGTCCTCAGACCTCAGCTATTGGTAAGAGGGGAACAGATGAACTGTGCTCTGCACTGCTGAAATAGCCCTATTCTTTATGGAGCCTTAGAGGCAGTGATAATTTGTAGAGACTTGGCCAAATGTTCTGCTTCTGTTATGGCATCATTTTACCAACTTAATTTTAGGAACCAGGATTCTGAAGTAATTTATAAATACTATTATTGCACGAAACAAGTTCTGCTTCTCTTCGTTAGAGTAAATAACATTACACAGAAGGCTAGCACCAGCAGGGTTTGACTGAACGTTTTGTGGAAAACTGGGAGGATATCAGGTTTACATGCCTAGCTGCTTGATGCTGCGTGCAGATCACAAATCTCTAAAATGCAACGTGTTTCAAAATAAGAAATCCTGCTGTCTTGGAACTGGCTGACTGAAGGAAGCTATTAGCTATTGATTTCCTGTGTTTTGCGACTGTGATATATAAATCTGCAGGAGGTACTTTTTATAAGCATTCTACAGCCTGCCAAGAGACCACCTGACTTTTTGAAATGGCTCTAAAGAAACAACTCTGCGATCATTTTTTTTAGGGCTAAGACAAAGAAAGACTTTAAGTTTTAAAAATCACTGTAAAAATACTTACAGTCGTCTTCTTCCTGGGGAGCGAAAAGAAAATAAACATTAGCACCATATTATAGCACAGTTCTTAGGAATATTTTACAAAACAAAAATCTGGAAGTTGGTGAATTTTGAGTATATGAGGACTCTAATATCTATACTGTCACTTTCATCTAAAATGCTGGGGTTTCTATCTTCGTGCAGCACCAAATAATTTTTAAAGTTCTTGCGTTAAGGTGCAGTTATTATTTACAAACAAGCTGTTAGGTAGATGTCCCATAATGGATCTTGACCCAAAGTAGTCAGAAAGTCTCAGCAGATGTAAACTTTCCTCATTCCTTCAGTAAGTGGAGGCTCTCAGACTTATCTGAAAGTGAAATCCTTAAGTCAGCTTAAGCTGAAAAAAACCCCCAAAACCTAGTGTAAGCAGAATCACATCTCCCATGTCATAAAAAAATTCTGACCTTATTCTTCCTGTTATCTGAGATAAAATACTCAGGGAATAAACCGAGCTCGACATAGAAGAACTGTTTAAAAAGAAACCATGTGCTATGAAAGATCCATGAGTATTTGTTATAACTGATAAAAGAAACAAGTTTACCTTTTCCAGAATTTATTGTAGTCCCTATACCTTTAAATATTTGCTTTGAGACTATACTTACTTCATTTTTTTTCTGTGGTTGCCAACCCTGCCTGAAGTGAAACAGAGAAAACAAAACATGGATCATGACTCATTCAGTTTGTGTGCATTAGGCCATATTTTCAACTAAGACATGAACTTATAGTAAGTTTTACAGACTCTATGAATGCAGAAACATTTTTTTTCCTCATAAAAATATCTAAGATTCTAATTTTCATCCATAATCTAAGATGTTATGCTAGTCCTTAGCCCATCGTGATTCTATCAACAAGGAAAATGTCTGATGAATTGATTATAAGATTAGAGCTTAAAACAAGTTTTTACAATGATGAAACATTAGACTTAAAGTCTTGAACTCATTTATAGTACTTAACAACATTGCTGGAGCACGTGAGAAGCCTTACAGTCTTTGTTTCTCTGATGAATTATCCTGGCCGATTAGCAGATCTCAATTACTTTCTTATTTTGTTTTAAGATCAGCCACAGCCTTCAGCGCACAAGTTATCTAGAAAATGCTAGAGAGTGATCTAGTTCTGCTGGAGAATGCTGTTTGCTATTAAGAAGGAGCTTTGCAGGCTAGCAAGATCAATGGTAGGAAAGGAAAGCTTTTGTTTTCTAACATCCTAAAAAAAATCGCAACAGAACTCATGAGAGAATGTTCCCTAGAGCAAGAACTTGCTCTGGTGGAAAAAACACAGATCATATATTTCTTTGTGCAACTTGGAAGTGAGTCGTGCCCTATGTAATGGCTGTTTCAGACACAACTGGAGAGAGGGGTTTTTTCTGCATTCACACTTTTCTGTAGCTTACAGCACATCCATGCATATTGATAAAGCAAAACTTTGATATCCGCAGACACTGCTGTCATGCAGTAGCAGTAAATTATACTATCCGGTGTTGCTTATCTGTGTTTTTGTTAAATTTACTTTATCCTTTGTTAAATTTCAATTACATGAACACTTACTTTACAGGGGTTGGCTTCCTTAGAGGGGATGGATTGCCTCTTTCGTATCTGTCACTTGGTGGGACAGGAGGTTTTGGCATCATTGCTAGCTGTTCCCCCAGAGATCTAAAGCAGGAGCAAGATGATGAAATAAAGGCAAAAAGCTGTTTACTAAGAAATAACTGGGTAATACTGGCATCGAGAGTCTCATTTCCAGAGGCAAAACTCTTACCTTAGTTGTGAAGTCAGAGGCTGTAAAACAACAAGGAAGAGAATGCGTAAGTGTATCAAAGTAAGTGAAAAACATCAATAAGCACCAAACAAAAAGGACCTTACCTTTTCAGGAAAGCCTGGCTTCCTCCCTGAAAATAGTAAAAGCTTACATTTAGAAAAAATGAAAGTTACGGTAATTCGTTACACTTTCTATGAAACAAACAAGTTATGCATATCATTGAAAGTAAATTTTGCAGATTGAGGCACTCAGCCTCCTGAGATGTAAGCCAGAAAAAATAGTTTGGCTTTGCAAGAGATGGCAAAATTGCAATATCTCTTATTAAAGGAAAATTCTAAATTTTTCAGAGTGGCATGTTTTGCAATCATATTTTCTGTGGTTCCACTTCAGATTACTGGATACTTTTATGCCATTGTATAACAGATGAAAGTGTTTAGATAATAAGTAAAAATCAGAGAGTAGTCTCTTTAGATTCTTTGTCAGATACAGTTTTCAGGTCTGAAACAAATGCTATATTTTTTCATATTTTTTTCAGTTCTCAGCATTCTTTTAAGTCTGGGTGCCAAATTACGTATCGTAGTGTATGCAGAGTTCCATTAGCTTCATATGGAAAAGTTATTTCCTCTTTTAACCCACTAAATATTTCCTTGTTCATTCACTTCAGTATTACATCATACCTTTACTGCACAGGGATCTCATAGTGTCTTTCTGTTCAACTAGTCCTGAGCTAGGGTTGCTACTTTCTAGACACAATTCCTTTCACTTTTTAAGTACTGCTCACATTATTTATTCATAAACAGATCACCTTGTATGTGATTGGATTACAGTATGTTTGGCTGAGCCTTGTTCTTTTGCATGAATGATATTCAAACTGATAATTTTGAATAATTAAAGAAACCTCATTGATATTAACATAAGCAAATACTGACCTGATACTAGGCTTTCTCTTTCAAATGGTGGAGCAAGGCGATCCAGTGGGGGTTTTGTGCTTCTGTCTATAGAAGGAGCTGGGGCTAAACACAAAAGCTGTGTAAGATAACTTGCTAGTATAGGTCAATATATCTTTATTTTGCATAGCCATGAACTAGTGTTACTTCTTAGAATGACAAGTGAGGCTTCTGTATAAATAGTAGAAGAGAGTGGAACTGAGGAGACGTAGGCAAAAGTGAAGTGCTCTATAGCCCATGGGAGAAACTTTACAAAGAGAAAACCAGCTGTACTTACGTTTCAAAGGCTTGATATTTCTGTCTCTACTCAAGTCATTGTTGCTTGGTGGAGGAGGAAAAGAAGCGGGCAGCTAAAACAAATATTTTACACGTGGTTAAAGTGTGTCTGTACCTTTCTGGTTTCATTTTAGTGTATTAACCCCACCCCACCACATCAGCCAATCTTTGTCTCTGGTACAGCACAAGAAGTGGGTCTCTGCCCAACGCAGGAAGGATAGGAGCCATTAACACTGCTGAAGAATGACTTTTACATACATGGGGTTTTGTTAGATGCAGGATTGCCTCCATCTGTTTCATCTCACAAGGAATACTCGAGTGGATGTTACCTTTGGGGAGGGCATGAATATTGTCAAAGGAAAGAAACAGGAGCTTCAACAATGCTGTTGTATCTTGGCCCCTTCAGTGCAGCGGGTGTTAGTTTTGAAAACTGGTATTGAAATTAGTGGATGTACATTTGAAGTTGAGAAATATGTATTAAGTCTGTGTTACTGACTTTGCTGACTGAGGCAGGGGGAGAGAGGACTGTTCTTTGTTACTGGGAGAGCTGGGGTCACACAGCGTTGTGTTGTCAGCAGCTGCAAAAGGCGTTTGCATCTAAACCTAGATTTCTCCAGACAAATGCCTTCCAGTGTTCGTTCTTATTCAAAACAAAAAAAAGAGCAGCACTTTAGGACAGCAGTCTTGAGAACTCATGACACCTAAGAGTCCTGTGTGGTTTATATAGATGAACTATGACACTGGGTCAGACCAAAAGTCCTTCTATCACATCCTAAAATTACCTTTATTTGTGTACATGAGTAGGTCTAATGTACATCTGTTCTGGCATATAGTGAACCTGTAGTGCCAGCTGTAAACAGCACAATAGCTTTCAGTTTTCAAGTATTCACAGGACAAGAAAAAGGAAAAAAAATCTGGGTCATCAGGGTTCTTATTATACAGCATCTTATACTTTTATGTGGTCTTAATTCAATTGCACATTTACTAGCAGTATAGCTTGGAAAGACCTAGCCTTTTTTTCTTTTTACAAATATCACTAAAGAAACAAAGAGGGATCTATTACAAATCTGTAATTTGTGTAGGAGAGGCATTCACAGGTGGGTACAAATTACCAGTGTAAGAAACAGCCAAGTAATGTGAAATAATTTAATATATTTGTCCCATGAAATTTAATTGTTCCATGAAAAATGACCACCATGTAACAGAGCTCAGATCTATTTTGATGGCCAAAATTCTTCCTCTACGTACACTATCTGAATAAAAATGGCATTATACTTGGACTTCTGAGAAGGTACTAGCAAAGGAAATAGGTGAAATATTAAGAAAGAAACATACAGAAGCACCTCTTCCCCCAAATGAGGCTGGTACTGGGGATGGGCCAGGGCGCTGGGGTGGTACTGGAGGCTGATGTGATGATCGACTTGTTGGCGGTCTGTCTAAAGAAAATAAAAAACCAAAACTAAACAACTACACAAACAGTTTGGTTATTTTATTCTCATTAGATGTTTATGAAAAAGAGCCTTGCAATAACCTGCATACTTAAGTTAATACATCATAAAGACATTGTTTTAGTGTATAATGGACAGTTGCTGTATGATCAATGTTGTTTTGGGAGTTACAGGCTCGTCTGTCTCTTTAGTGGTGAGGTGACTCCATCTGCTAGTCCGTGGGCCCACGCTATTTGTTTTCTTTCACTGCAGTACAGTGACTGTGTGAAACACCAGCCAGCCTAAATGGCGGGTTTGTACTCCTGTATTTGACCCCACAGCTGCAGGCTGCTGAAGAATCAGACATAAAAAAATGACAAGCAGAGATAGCTGATCTCTTTCTTTTCCCAGATTTCACTAGAGTTTTTTGCCACTGTTGTGACAACTTGCTCTGCTCAGGATTGCACTACTAAAGCTAATACAGCGTGCACATATGTTTAATTTCATGCAGGTTCAAACCAAAGGTCAAATAATGCACACACCACATGAAACTAATCTTTAATCCAACAGAGCTTGTCTAGCTTTGAAAGTCACAAAGCCACTTACATGCAGTGAGTCTGTGTCACTAAATCTTGTTCATAAACTACACTATTAACTTCAAGGAAAAACCTTCTGTATTCCATTACCAGCCGCCTAAAATGTGGCTGATAATATGTGAAAATATCATTTACAAATTATTAATAACACTTAATTTTTAGTAATTACCTATATAATCTGTGTTGTTTGCAAGTGACTTGGCAGGAAATATGACATTGTGGTGTGCTTCATCATTATTGGATGGAGGTGGTTCATAGCCGTCGCTATCATGTTCTGCTTCCTCAGGTTCTTCTGTTGGTGATTCATAGTCAGCCTCATCTTCCTTTTCCTGGTCATCATCAGGGCTTTCATAGTCATCATCTTCATCCTGGCAAACGTACAAAAAAGACGGATGCTGTTACAGGATACTAAACACTGCAGAGCAATTTCCTTGTGGCCTTTCAATCCGGTGTTTTTCACTCTGGAGGCTATCAAGTTTTTACAAGCAATTTGAGTGAAAAAAATTATCTGTTGAAATAAAATGGGGAATGGAGGCAGCATTCTATTAATGTATACAGCACTCAACAGCTTAAGAAAGGAAACGAGTATCATTTTATAACTAACTGCAGTGGAAGGTCATGATAAGGTGATGGCTTATTGAAATGCACAGTGCCTTTGTTTTAGGTAACAGACAAGGCACCAGCAAACAATTCAGTGCTTTCTAGAAACACACTGGAGCAGCAGTTGATGCCTGTTGATATTCATTCTTAATAGCGTGTACTCTACAGCCGACAGTTCAACATTTTAAAAATGCTTCAGAAAAAATGAGGTCTTTGATATGGGTCTTGGTGCCCTCCACTGACCAGAACCAAAACAGCTTCATACAACGTGCAGGACCTAGTAAGATCATGGTGAAAACATGGTGGTGGTCATTGCATACATCTTCTGTGCAATCTGCCAGGGCTTACAAGAAACAGAATACTCAATTTGCCATTGATATCGTGGCTGAAATTTCCAGACTAGCTCTGTACTGACATAGAGCCCAGGTGCTCTATAGGTGGTTACTTTTACCTTTTGTGCTCCTAAAATCGCAGCAAATATCCTGTAAACTTAGTAGCAAGTGGTTTTTAAAAATCCCTCTCCGTTTTTTGCAAAAAAACATTGGCACTGGTCAATGTAAGCGATGTACGTAAACCCGGACTGTGCATCCGTCAGCTTATGCATTTAGCTAGCTGAGCTGTGTGTGCTTCATCTAACGGCATTTACCAATGCATTTTCTATGCCGAAAGGTGAAAAGAACTTTTGCAGTCTAGTTGGCTTCAAAAAGTTAGATTCTTCAACAAATCAACTCTAGAGAATAAAATGGCAAGAATTTGCCATTGAATAACATAGCAACCTTCCCTTCACTAGCCACTTCTTTTAAGAGCTTGAGATCGGTATATAAAATTCAGCTAAGCTTCCGTGGAGACCTGGTCGTAGGCTGTGAGCTTCTACCTGAGCCAGTGGTACAGGACTGCCATTCTGAAGCTCTGCCTTGCATTACTGGGGGAGACCCTTTTGTCAGTGAGGAAGTTTGTATGCAGCTACTCCAATCATTCATGCTCCTGCTTCTCTTTCTCCTCATCCTAACACCCCCGCCGTTGCTCACTCCATCCGTGCTGCCCAAAGTAGATAATGCAAGAAATGATAGACCTTACAGAAGAGGTAATCCATTCAATCAGTAGGTTTTGTTAATCCTGATGATACTCACAAATGAAGACCAGCCACCGTCTTCTTGACCATATCCTGCACAAAGAAGCATGACAAACGATTCTATGATTCTATAACCACAGGCTTCTTAGCACGTACAGCTTTAAACTATCAAGATGTAATTTGACCAAAAGGACACAACAAATCCCAGATCGGTTCTGAACCACAACACTATGTCACAGGAACAAAGTAGGTCTTTCAAAGGCAGGCAGGCAGGCATGAAAGGTACTACAAATAACATTGTGATTCAAAACTAAGAGTATAGCTATCCTCATATGAGATATGTGCTGTCACTTCAAGTTTGTCCTACACTTCCAGTTTTAAATAAAATTTGAAGTAGAATGCTTCCAGAGTGAGCACAGACTTCTTATCTCTTTGTTTAATACTATTTTATCTTTCATATCAAAAGGTTTTTTAATTTCAGTAGGACCGGGGGAACATGGTAACTTGCAGAAGTGTCTGTCTGTTGTTTTGGGTTCTGCCCCCCCCCCCCCCCCCCCCCCTACTCTGCCCAGCAAGGATTAACTTAGTATTTTAATATTTTTAAACCCTTCCTGTTGTTAGAGACTATCTGCCAGTACACGCTTACCTGGATTTTCAGGACTTTTTTGTGTTTGGGCCCTACAATAAAGATAGATACAAAAAAATAAATTCCTTCCATTTGCAATTCTTAAATGTTTGAAGCATACTAAAATCTATTGCGAATAAAGGTAATAGTTAGCTTTAACAGTAGAATGAAGTTTATGTAGATGAGTTTAACTCTACCCCAAATGCCAAAAACACACTACTTCATATTTCACATACAGGATCCTAATGTAAGCTAAACTGTCTTGAAAAAAATTCAAGTCACTCAGGTCGAGTGTTTAGAAACAAGGGAACTCAGTAAATAAATTCACCATGGGCCCCAGTCCTGAAAATAGAAACTTTCTTTACTCATTCCATTCAAGCTGCCGAAAGTCAAGTTCATAAACATTTGTAGGGTTGATAAATATTTTTGTGGTTTTCAATTCTAGTTTTGAGCTCTAGTTAATGCAAAGGTGTAAAATCATGTTATTAGATGATGTAAACCCATGTTACGTAGACTAGACTTAGATTTTCGTTGTATATGAATATAAATGGTTCTTTTCTCATGCGATGTTCTTCCAATTTTTGCTCTTTTTCTGTTGCAAGAATATTATATTCAATGGTAAGTCGTAAAGTATTAAAAAGTGTACCGATGTATAGGTCTGTGAATTACAGTAATAATGATTTATTAATGCAGTAATATGTGCCTAGGCTTTATAGCATTCTTAAAGATTAGTTTACTCAGGTGGAAAATGGTATGAAATGTATATGTTCCTTGGTTCCGGACATGGCAGAAGTATCTAGGGTGTTCATGGGCTCAGGCTTTGCTATTCTTAACAGATGACATTAACAAACTAGGGTTTTATTTTATATAATTTCCAGGCTGTCCCTCTGAACCAGGTATTATTGATCAAATGGAAAACAGTCCAGAAAAGATACATCTGAAAGCTTTGAAAAAGAAAGCGGAATTGTTTTACTTACCATTTTGGAAAGAAAGATAGCCTCCCTTCATTTCTGTTTATTTCTTGACTTAATTTACTTACGATTCTATTTAAAAGAAACACAAAAATAGTTTAAAAAAGCTCCTTGAAACTTCTCAGTCATTTTCTTAGGTGCTTTCCCTCAATATTTACTAAATTAAATCTGGTAATTCAGAATTATTATTTACTATGTGCTAAGAATATTGAATTTATCATCTTAATGCAAAGTTGCACTATAGCATGTCCAATTGAAAACTAGACTTTTTTTACATAGACAAAACCCCATATTGTTGAATCAACTTTAAAAATAAACGTTAAACCCAGCAAGCCTTAACAACTCTGGGCGTGGTAGACATCACGCGTTAGAACACTGCTTTAAATAACGGCAATTGCGTTTGTATTATTTTGCATGGAAAAAGCAGATAATGCTTCAGGAAACAACTTCTACCAAGCTTATGGTTGCAAAAGCAGGGATTAAATGTCCCCCGTGTCTACTCTCTATTCTTTTTGTCTCCCTCCCTCTGCAACCAAGATATACCTAATCCAGAATCCCGCCAGTAAAGAAGGTGAAAAGATTGATTTACTTCCATGTTATAACAGATTGGCAGGGCAGAAATATTCATGGAACATATGAAGACTATAGCTTTATGTCTAGAGAGATTTTTCCAAGTGGATGTTTGTCATCGCTCATGCATAGTTTGTGTACAGCAGTAGGGTGAATAACAACCAAGGAAATGCAATCTTGAGTAAAATTTCGGTCAGGAGGATGCATTTATGCTGCTAATATTGCTGGCATCCATAGCCAGAACAGGCATCTGGGACTGAGAGTTTTTGTATTGCCTGACCCCTGAGAACAGCGTGGAGGTGACAGGACAGCCATTACCAAGATTAACAGAATTAAGTCCACTGAGAGCAACAGAATTCTGCTCTGCCAGTAATGAAGTTTGCCTCTATGATTATTTTGTTTCAAATCAAGTTTTTGTTTCAAAGAAAGCTTATGATGAGTCACGGTCTGGTTCTTAATTCTCAATATTTCTTTTTAAGGAAAGTCCCATCAAGAAAGTCCTGCGACAACCAAAGCAAATTGGTTACATACATCTGGTTAAAAATAGCCCATTTTACTTCTATCTTATATTGCTTAGGTCTATCAGAGACAGTAATTGTGGAAATAAAAGTATGAAAAAGAATCAGGAACTCAACATGTCTGTTTCAGATTCTAAATTCTGTAAAATCTTCTCTTTGTTGTTTGTTAGTGCAGAATTCTTTTCCATACATCTTAGATCTGGTCAATCAAACTTTGTATCAGTATTGTAAAATCTTTTTTTATGGCCAGGCAATTACCACTCTATTTTGTTTTTCTTCTTCTTTCATGTCTTTTTCTGCTACTCAGCAATTATAATCCCCTAGTTTTTTCCAAATGACCTCATTTGTGCATCTCGTTCATGTCTAACTGTTTTCCTGGCCTGGGACTTGAGGAAGACAAGTTTTCAAGCAATCTAATATTAAAAAAAAGCTAACATAAACATACTATTTTTTTTATCCTGAACCATGCCAAAAAAACTTTCTCTTATTTTGAGTATCCCTTCTCTTGCCCTTGCTACTTTCCTAATACTTACCTTACTGTAATTCAGATTAAAAGATAAATTCAAGACGTAGGGTTGCTCTGTTTGAATATGGAAAGTGCTGTGGGGGCAGATCGGGCTGCCAGCAAGTATCAGAGAACAAGCAATTTCTGATCAGTATTGTGCTGTCTGAAGAGGATGGAGATGGGTAATTTGAAGGTAAGGATATGTACTTAAGGATCCAAGTATGAAAATAGAAAGGCAGAGGAAGAATTTTTTTCTTGTTTTTCTTTTTTAAGGCAGTACTTAGCAATTTTCTGATTTGAAGCAAATATTGGCATACTTGCCCCTTTTGAAATAAGCACATGCACAAAAGTTGATAATTTAAGGATTACAGCTGTCTGAATCTGCGTTACCCAAGCAAATTGTATAAAGCAAGAAAAATGCCAAGTTATAGACATAAGACGCCGCTTGCTCTTCTTCTTTGCCATGCAATCAACACTTCTCTGCACAAGAAATTTCCTCCTGCTGCAGGTGATAAGGAAGTCGCTGTGTGAATAACAAATGCCGTGTGAAACGTCAGGAAATGTTCCAGCGTGAACAGCGCGCGGCGTACACCAGCGCTTTGGCTGAGAAGTGGATTACGGAACTTGCGTGGGGCTTAGTCTGTGTTCTAGCGGAGGCAGAGGAAGGATCTTTCATAATGTGTTTATTTTCAGCTGAAGAAGTAAATGAAGATCACTGGTTTTAGAGCTAATACTTCTTTTACTTCAGACTTCCACGGGTATGAATGAGACCTGAGTGTTTGGAAGCTTTCTGGGCTAAACCTGGGCTGGCTGCTATGAGGATTTACACCACCTGGTTTTTGAGGAAAAACTGAAAGGAAAAAGTTGCTCATCTTATCTTGCTGCCACAAAACTGATCATTTGCTGCTTAAAATAGAGTGTCTAATCTTTACTTCAAGTTTATTTTAAATACTTCAAACCAATGGCTCAGAGAGGTCATTAGAAGAAAGTGAAGTTTAGAATGTTAACACTTTACAAGCAACATTATTTCAGAGGATCGGTGCACCGAGCAGCTGAGTCTGTAGCCATGCGAGGAAGGAAGTACCAAAACCACACTGCTTTCTGAGTTGTGGGAGTGGATGATAGGAGAGGATAAGGCAACAGCACTTGCAGAAAATGTTACTCAGACTTCTCTTTCTCTTTCTACCTCCTCCACCAGACGCTTAGCTTAAAACTGGCAGGAAGTCGAAAATAAAAAAAACCACCACCACACAACCAACCCCCAAAGCAGTACTCCCAAAACTGGCTTTTGTTCGCTTAACTGCAGATACTGTTGTTGTGAGTAGAATCCATTCTACCTGCATTGGGATCCAGGATTTCAGATGGGTGGGAAAGATGGAGGCAAAGGTCCTCGAGGACCAGGAAGTTACATAGTTGCGTATTGAACGCTGTCGACAGCATAGTTTGTGATTAAGTCTTTGTTTTCGCCTTTGAGAAAAGTCTGTTGGGCAGATGCAATACTATTGCGTTGGCTTCAAAGCTGACTGAATATCAGTTATGTTTTAAACCTTTCAACAACCTTTAGCGTCTCATCTGAAAGAGCATGTGTGCACACATTCACCTCTGCCCAAGGCATACCTTTTTAAAAGAGAAGGGCACCAGATTTCTTAATTTTTAGGTTTGCACTTCGACTGTCCTGAAAGCAGAACGACTTTCGGACTGTGCCATATTTGTAGGCTCTGAATGTGTCCCATCCAGAACTCAGCACACGTACCACGTTTGAGCTAGCAGATGTGATTACGTACTTCAGTGCAATGATCCACTTTTTATTACTGGAAATTTTCGCAAGTGCTGTGGTATGTGCCATAAGCTTTCTGACCAAGGTTGAAAATTTCGAATCTCAGGTTTGCCTGCAAGCTGCCTCCAAGAGCCTGTATTAGTACCTTGACTTACTGAAAACTTGGAAATGTTTTCTCTCAAGATAGTAAACAGTAAGAGTGGCAAAGACTAACTTCAGTGTTTAGATCATGGTTCAGGTATCGACCAACCACCAACGTTATTTTGAATGAGATCTTTGCTTTTTCTTGTTTATTGATTCTGACCACAGTAAGTAAGGCACATTCTGTTAAATGCACTTTAAAATATTTTGGAAGGCTCACATTTGTTATCCACAAGTATAACCCTTTATGACCTTCTGTGACTGCCAATAGTGATAATGAGCAATAAGAAAACTCCATCTGTCCTTAGCTGTATATTGGGCTTTTGTTTCCTTAGATTTATTATCAAAATGTTAATTGCACCCTCATGATTAGGTCTGAGTTTCATTTAGCACTTAAGACAGATATTCGATGTCTGCTCTGTGTAAAAGATACCATATCCCTTCCCTGTTCCACCAATGTACCACTTACTCTTGCAGGATGCAGTGCGTTGCTTGTGAAGCTTCAGGTGTGTATGTATGTTAGCCTAGTGATATTAATATTAACTTAAATGTTTCTTTCTTAAGATATAGCAAGTACAATAATATGAATGAGCTCAACAAAAACCATAACGCTGTGTATTTTAACAGCTTTTCATATTGTTACATAAATGCCAAGTGTTAAGCGTAGTGTATGCTTAAAGAAAACAGGTTGCAACTGAGCTAAACTGTTAATAACTGAACAAATTGTTAGGTCAGCCATGATGCTCTCTCTTACTTAGGATGGCAGCTACATTTGTGATAACCCAATCTCTAAAGCTGGTGGTCATGCCACAATTATTTATTTTAATTTCTCAGTAGGAAAAGGGACAAAATGTATGTGTTAGGTGTTCCTACCAATAGATTACTTGGCCCAAATGTTGCTGCTCCTTAAAGATCTGTGGCGATGTGATAACTTTGGGATAACGGCTAAATGTCTCCTGGGCCATAGAGTTCCACAAAATCTGTGAACAAGTGAAGTAGGAAAAACCCTTTGTGATCTGGAACCTGGAGACTGGGTTCCACCACATGTAATCATGCAGTATCAGGTCTTCAAAGATCGTTCATCCGTGCCATAGCAGATCTATGTAGGCCGCTGGAACAGATAGGCATATATCTTTTCATAGAATAGCAACTATGCTTAAATTCTTAAGATATGGTTAATATTCTTAAAAGTAAATTTTTACCAAGTGATTTAAAGCTGATACTCTGTATCTTCAAATAGAAATGTATTTATTCAGGCAGAAAAACTACATGGTGGCATTTTCTGTTTAGCTTGAAGAAGTGCCTGAGGCTCAGCATGTGTCCAAGTACTGCCTTTTGAACTGGAGCCTCAAACCAGTCCAAGAATCTCTCTCCACTCCCTCTTCCCTATGTCCACCCACAGCAGTTCAGCTACAGCACAGAACTGGCAAAGACCGAGTGGCTTTTTCCACCTCCCTCTTGTCTAAAGGAAAGGGTGAAAGTGAAGCGGTGAGCGGAGCTGTACAATGCCTTTTGCTTTGGGACCTTGTGCCCGGGCTAGACCTTTGATTCTACGGTGCACATAAGTGGGAATGAAAGAAAGGCTGCTTTCCATGTTAAATCAAAATATAGCATTAAGCAAAGTTAATTTTCCAAACTTCTCCCTAAGATTGCTTTAATAGCAATGTAAGTGCAAGAGGTCTGTGTTCCAAAGAGTGACAGCATTATCAATGTAAGTATTCTGAATGACAGTAAAAACTTACTTATATTTATCAGAGAGGCCCCAAATGGAAGAATAGTTTCAAATTTGCAGGTTTATTTAAAGGCCTAGATGTTGCAAGGAAAGGAGGGCATGTGGGTTTCCAGTCATCTAATGCCCTGTTTGGCACAGCTTTATGCATAACTCAAAGATGAGGACAACGTTTGGTTTTGACCCTCTCAAATACTCTGTGACAAAGTCGATCTTCATTCAGTCTTCATTTTCCATCCTCCACAAGATACCATGCCCCAACAGACATGCGGGATAGATTTCCTTAACCATGCCAGTAAAGATCACCACGTGTACAAGACCTCAGTACCTCTGGCTGAAAGAAGAAAGTAAGTTAGGTGGTGACCGTGGACAAGAATGGGAATCCATGCCGAGGCAGATGGACTGCGGAGTTTGTTATGATCCCTCAGAAATCTGTGTGTGGCCTAGCCATATGCAAGTGCAGTGAATCCGGCGCAGACTTATTGTCCATTAACCCTTTGGCCTGCAAAACAGTAGCCAGAATAAAACTTGCAGGTCTGTCTGGATGCGTCAGCCACTTTTATACGGTGCACTTATATATATGTAAATTTTTAGCAAAGTTTTCAACAAAGAGTTCAGCCCTTTTAATGGAGAGTTTTAAGGATTTTATTGAAGTATTTTGGTTTTCTGAATAGTGTTTAAATCTTCTTTTGGTATTTAAAAATAAGCCAAAAGAAGATTCATTAAGATGTGCACCTGTAACATGGCAGGTGGAGATTAACTTTCCAAATAATAATTGTGTTAATAATAACAGCAGATTGTGGGGGTTTTTTAATAGTTTCAGGAAATGGCCTCTCATACTCTGTAATGACAACTGTTACGTACTTAGACATTTAAAGATTCTTGTAAAAGTCACAGAATCATCCCCAGCTAATGACACAGTTATATTCAAAACTTGATCAGTAGATTTGATCAAATGTATATATTTAGTAAAACCACATACTCAGCTCAGGAGGTCTGTATGGATGGAGGCTGTGGTTTGCAAATGTGGTATAGTTGCAAGTGCTGGGTTCTGTTCTCAGCACATCTAGGTCAGCATAACCCTGCTGAAGTTACTGGAGAACAATTTCTCTTGTACAGGTACTTTTTATTCATTTCACTGGTCAGTGCTCTAGGTGTGACACTTGCTATTTATGTTAAACATTTTTATAGAATATGCTCAGATTTTAGCACTGTTGCGTATCAGGTGCTATAACTACAATATGCTGATGTGTATTTCAGCTTCTAGAAAAACTCTTCTTACTAGGTGAGGTTTGCATTATGATATAAAAGTAAAGAATGAATGTGTTCTAGTAGAAGTCAACAGCAAGCACTTTCCATTTCGGTGAGAGCATGGAGGTTCTGAATAATGAAATTCTGAGTAATGAAATTAATGTTAAAAAGAATGGCAGGTTCTTCTACCCATGAATTTTATTCTGTTGTTTGGTTGGTTGGTTTTAAATGGCAACCAGTTCTCTTCCCTATTAAAGCTCTCAATTCTTGTTTTGAACAGTGGCCTTACATGGAGGACCCCACATCACACCAACCTTTTTCCATGTATATTCACAATATTCTAGTGAATTGTTTCCCTGTTTGTAAGTGTGGAGAAAGCTGAGAACAAGGGCATTAGTTCCAGAGCTTTCATTCAGATTTATTAATTCACTTATTTATTCAGTTCTTCAAGTTGTGCGCCAAGCTTCACTCTCCTTTTAAAGTGCTTGATTTCAAGTTCTCTTCTTGTTGAGGAACCCAAAAGATCTGATTAGAAAAGGCTGTTCACTTTCTTCTAGAGTGTTACAAGGTAAGTGGACTGTGAAAATTGAATTTTCAAAACATTTTTAAGATATCAATAGATTAGACGAGATAGGAGCAACTCCACATTGTTAGATTTCATTTTAACTATTCATATATAATTTATATAATATATAATTTATATCTTATTGACATTAATATCTCATGTGTGTGTGTTTATTAGACCTTCCACTGACCAATTTTGACTCACGGATTTGAAAGGAAATAACCAAACGTTCTCAAAATTAGAAGTTCAAACAAGGAGAACACAAGGCAATTTTGCCAAAGGACTGTTAAGGAGGGACAAATTGTCAGAGAATTACAAGCAATGTGTTTTACAGTTTGGTAAGATGAGTTTTTCACAGACAATCTGGTGTAACTCTGGGCCCTCAGTCTCAGTAACCATAGTTAAATGTTGCTTTTAATTGCCATTAACTTAAAAAATGCTGAGACACCTGGGCATCTTTTTTTGTAGCATCTGGGCCCCCTTACTAGCACATATACACTGCCAATCCATATTATCGGGAAATGTATTGTGTGAAAATATAGATATGATCTTAAGAAACATGTCATGTCCAAGGCTTTCAAGTTCAAGTCCTTCCATATCTGATCCAGAGGTATCCTCCTGCCCACAGGTCTAGCCACCAGCTTATACATGAGCGCATGAATGCGACAGACCACACACGTATTTCAAAATTTTTCAGTATTCTTAGCTTCACCAAAACATCTTACACAAGCTCTGATGCATCAGAAAAGGCGAAGCAGACTCTTCTGCTATCTCCTGAAGCAAAATCAAGGTATGCATAGAGGGAGTGAGTCTGGAACTGGGAAATGAGCAACAAAGAAACAGCCATGTTGGAACAACTTGAGTTCCTTTTTTTTTCTCCTTACTTTCTTTAGAAGACCATGAAGAGCTCCATGTGTCTCATGGTTAGGAACCTTCTAACTTCCAGCTTAAATATGTACCAGACAACTCGTAGCAAAATAAAATCCTTCGTTTTTCACCACAAAATATTAGAAGTTGTTAATTTCTCTGTTACTCAGTATTGATTTAATGGGAATATTGTTCTTCATTTAGTAACTTCTATGAAATTATGAAAGCTATTCAGATAAATGCAAAACTTTTTCAAGGCCTAATCCACAGGAGCTAAGGCTACATATTCAACACTGAATCAAATGTTCCAGACTGATTTATCTTTAAGGCCTACCTAAAGGAAAAGCACATGATGAAAATCGCTTGAACTCCTCCACTGTTGTGTACATACCTGTCATTTTTTTTCCTTTGAGTTAAAGTCAACAGTTAAGCAGTGAACAGTTAAATCATACTTCAAAGGTAATACTCGCACAAAAGTTTAACCTTTGTGTAGCTGCTGTAAGTCAAAGAATTTATGGACGAGTTCTTTTGAACGTGCCCCAGGCAATATTTTGTATTGCATCATTATGCTTGAGCAGTCATGACAACACTCCTTGGAACATTCTTCTTTTTCTCTCGGTACAGTGCAATAAACAGGTCTCTGACTAGTCACTTGCAAATCATTTGCCCGATATTTCCTATGAATTTCCACTGCAGACCAGCTAAGATTATTTTTAATGTTAAAATGGTTTGGCTTTACTTACGGCACTCTGAGTTTGGGAAATTTCTGAATATCATTTTCAGACATGTTCTGAAAAGGAAACACAGGGTATATATCACAAAATTGTACAGGGAACACCCTGCAACTTACAGAAGTTTGCATATTCAAAAATGTGGCATGAAGTTTCAACTGATAGGAACATAAAGTGGATAGAAAAGCAATGCAAGGTAACAGCCTGCCCGTCCCACGGCTCATAAGGGAAGTAAACCAATTTTAGTAAAAAATCCTCTCTATATTTTTTTTTGTTTCGCTAGATGTTGGATTTTACTTTACGTTGCTGCCAGTTGTATTAAACTAGCTAGGAGGTTAGTAAACATCATGTGTGTTTGTTTACACACAAAGGACTTCAACAAAATAATCACATCTACCTTCATCTAACAGAAGTATTTCTGTAGCTAGAATGTTGTAATGATAGCTTGTTAAAACGATCTGTAAGGAGAAGTAAAACCTTTAACTAGCCCTTACCAGATAAGAGTTGCTTAAATTTGTTTGTTTACCAGCAGATGAGCCATCCTTCCAGGATTAATATCAAATTAATGGGACTCTGTGCAAAGTTGAAGTCATTTGCTTTTCTGATTTGGGTTCTAATCCAGTTCTTTATTGGTGTTACATTGTCACATTGACTTACAGGCAAGGTTAAAATCCATCCCTGCTCTGCTTCTCAAAAGAACCGGAAATAAAACCCTCTTCTGCAACAGCTCCCTCCCTAGAGTTTGTCAGAGATACTTAAGCTAAAGCAGGTGAAGAGAGTCCTAAACTTCAAGTTTAGGACAGATCAGTGCATTCTGAAAACTTTCGAGAAAGTGTTTTGTTTAGTTAATCACAAGCTTTGCAAACCCTCTTTGGAACACAGATGATAGTCTGCTTCTTTCCGTCTTTCTTACTGCCAACAGTAAGAAGTTTCTAATTACACATTGGTTCACAATGCTATCAATGCTTTTCAGAATAGAACAAATCCTCTCTGTGTTTTCCAGCACTATTTTGCCTCTGGGAGTACTCACAGGAGTAAAACCGAGGAAAATGTCCTCCTGTTATGGAAATGTCCTGCAGGATGTACTGAAGGATCGTAATTTTTGTCTAAAGACTTTTTAAGCTCCTCTCTGGAATTCTATTCTGGTGATAAACCTGACAAATATTATGGGTCTCATAAAAGGGCCATGTTGCCATTTTAAATATTAGAGAATTTTATTAGAATAAGTTACATGGAATCCCTCTGGTTTTATTCCTACTACATCTCACCTGGACTTTCCTTGTGGTTGCCAGTAGATACAGAAATGTGACTTTGAAGCTAGGATGTTATTCTGATGAGTAAGGCAGCAATATTTTTACAGTCAGGGTTACCATATAGATCCTACAATAGATACAAAACCTGCAAACACTCAGTCTTAACAGTTTCTTCTGTGCAAATGTAATTTGGCAATTTCCAGTAACTTACAAAATGTAAAAAGATATTCCTTAGGAAAAACATTTGTACAGAGAAGCAATTTTTTTTCAAGATTGCATTGTACTCTAGAATATTCCACTTAAAGTCTCCCTTTGTTGTTCTGTTTAACAGGTGAACCTTTTCTGCATCATACAATTGATAATTAGGTCAAAAGCTTAAGGAAAAAACTCTCAGCAGACATGAGCAGTTTCTTGCTTACTTAATAGAAAAGCATCCTTTGACTCTACTAGGATGCTTCTGAAGAAATACCGCACTCCGAGCTATGTATTTACAGAAACACTCTGGAAATAATAAAAAATTACAAAAATCACTTTGACATCACACAGTTATTGCTCTTGTTATTTGTGCCTCACAAAATTCCAGAATTTCATAATGCATCCAGAGCCAGAACTCCCACTCCAGCCGCAGATCCTTAGTGCCTGAGCTAAGGAGAATCTTTTAGGGGTGGGTAGGATAAATGCGATGACACACTTCTGAATAAGTCTGACTCCACCCAGTAGGAGGGAGGTGTAATATCCTGTTCCTACAAAAGGTGTTCGAAAATTTTTATGTTGCATTTCAATGCAATGACAAAAAGCTTGATACATTAGGACAAGTAAATAAAAAATAAGAAGGCTTTAGAAGAGGTATGCGTAGATTTCCCCACTATGACTAATTATACAGATGATCAAAATGACTACTTTTGGGGAAAACAGAAGAGTTAATATTTGGAAATAAAATAAAATAGAAGTAAAATGAAGGAATACTAAAAGCCCTTACACATCTTCATGAATGTGTATTTAAGACCTGAAAACAGCAGCTATATCAGTGGAAGTTGTCGGCTTTTCTAAAGTTAAGCCAAGTTGTTGGTAAAGCCTGGAGCAATGTTGATTTAAACCCACTGGGACTTCGCTTACTAGTTTTGGTGCTCTTAAAGTTCATTGATTTGTGTATTGCTGCAGAAGTAATCTAATTTTAACTATAGAAGCATGAAACAGCGATTGCAATAGAAGGCCAGTCGTTCTGACCAGGTCTGTGTCTTCTTTAGTAGAAGAGGACAATTAATAAATGTGACTTTTCTGTAATTAGTATTTGAAAACAAGCACTTCCTATAAAGGATGAAATGAATTCAAGACAAGATTGTGGTTTTATAACTTCTCTATCAGTTTAAAAAATGCTAAAATATATGCATATTAAACAACATGCTTGGATTCCCAGCATTCCATATGTAAAGCAAGATGTCTGGCTGATTTCAGCAAAGGCGTTTGCTTCTCACATTTACACCTCAGTAACCATCTGCGAGCTAAGTATTTTGCAAAAGTGAGGAAAGATGGAAAGTGAGGAGGAGTCGAAACAATCACTAGATTGGAATTTTATAGGAAGGAATTTTACAACTCTACTTACCAAAAACCTTTGTCCATTTATGCTGTGCTTTCTCACGACTTTCTCACAGTCCTTATACTTTAACTGTCAATGAAAGAAGATGATTATTGCACCCTTAATTGTAAGAATGGATTAAGACACTTTGACATACAGCTAGCTTTGAGGAGATGCTTCAAGTTACCCTTTTGTATGTGAGAGCCTGCCTGAATGGCTCATTTGGTTCTGTAAAGATGGATTTTCAAGACAAAGATGCTTCAGGGAACATGAGGATTTTCATCCCTTTAGGAATGGATGTGTGTAATTCCTCACATTTAAAAACCACCTCACAGTTGCCTGGCCCAAGGAAATATTTGGAAAATGGATAGTTGTGGTACTGACTGGGATGAACAGTTGCAGAAAACTGGAAGTATGGCAAACACCTCAGTGTCTGGGACTACTGAAGCCCTGATCCCAGTCGCTGAATTCATTGTTGTGATGGAAAAGCTTCCTCTTCTGGATGGAAATGTTACTTGTTAATCCTGGAAATTATCTATAATATGTGGAAAGCTTTTCCACAATATTATGTTTTACAGTAGCATCTAGGACAAGGGTATGCATTTTAGAAGCTGATCATGTACATAAGAAAAGAAAGCTCCGGATCCTACCAGGCAAAAATTTAACAGTAATTTGGGGGACTTAAAAAAAAAGAAAAACAAAACAAAAAAATCAAGCCAAAAAACTAGCTACATTTAGCAAGACATGACTCTCAAACATTTCCAGTGGATGTCTTAAGGTTTTTTTTTGTTTGTTTGAACAGTAATAGCATAATGTGAGAACACAGCTTATATTTTTGATCTGGCTAGAATGCATTTTTCCTGTTTCAAGTTGATCCAGTCCATACCAGAAGGAACCCAAAGAGCGGGCAGACAAAGTGACTTTTGGAGCCTTCAAGCCAGAAACTTTAATTAGCGAAAGTTATGCAGACAGATGATCCTGTGCTGCTGGGATAATTCCCCTAAAGCAGAGAACATCTTGTAGGGAGCATTATGTCCTTTCTTAGTTCTATCCTGTTTATTCATTTTAAGGAGTAATCTTGTAACTTGGTGTTATGTGAGAACAGGTCTTGAAAACATCTGAACAGCTGAGAGAACATTTGTAGGAGCCACCTTCAGTTACTCATATGCAGAAACAGACCTAACTCTGCTAAATATTTTAGGATACAGATTAAGACTTGTGCAGACTGGGGACTTAAACCTGTAAATAATATCTCTTTCGTATAGTGAGTGCTATCATGACATTACCAGCGCAAGCCCGTATGCAGCAGTGAGCAACTGCTATACTTGGTAGAACACATCAGTGTGACTGAGACCTAATCTCATTCTGAATGTAATTGATGAAAAATACTGTTTAGCTATTAAAAATAACCCTCAGGATATTACAAATACAAACATCTTTGCTTTTTCTAAAAAAAATTTAGTCTTTAGAAATTATTTGAAGATTTGGTTCTTTATTGGTCCCTCCTTATTTTGAATGCATGGTTTAAATTAACATAGGCTTTATGTTAGCACACCTAGAATCATAAATTAGACGTTATTACTGTTAAGTATGAAGAATTCTTATTTGACAGAAACTGAGGACTTTATTCATGCCAGTAATACATCGTAATATTGTTACATAAACTACTGATGTATACGCTGGCTGAATTTTGCTAATATGGAGGTGTAAGCTAACAATGAGTTGACAAAAATGTTACCACTGCCCTGTATCATGACCAATCACTTCAGGTGAGAGAAGATTTGAATGTGATTGTCCTTTGAAAATCATCCCACAATTATCTCAGTTTAGTAGGAACTGAATCCTGGACTTTGAACATATGGCTGCAGGCAAAATATATTCGTCAGATGCAAATAAAGCAGTCCTAAGATATAGCATTCGACCCTTTAATTGTACATGTGAGGGAAATTGTATGACTTTACCTGGGGAGATCTGGTCACTTACGGCAGTTGCCCAGACCCGGCTGACTTAGGCTGACATTATTGTCTTACACAGATTTCTTAGATGACTTTAAGCAGCTTTTGCCCTGATTCACCTCCCCAAGAGTGGCCTGCCAAGATTATCTCTGTTCTGGGGGGGTCTCTGGATCAGTAGAGGGGACATACTCAGAAATTAATGTAACCGGGCCCATTCAGTTATGGTAAAACTTACAGTTAATCCTTTTATCACTGCTAAGAATATCAACTCTTTCAGGAAGCCATTTCCTTTCTAAGTCTCTTGGAAATGGTGATCCAAACCACCATGCACCAGTGTTGTAATGTTTTTTGTGTTTGTCTGAAGTTGCCTGTTGATAATGATCTCATCTGTTCCATCTCCAATTCTTCGTTTCGCTTTCCTGTGCCACTAACCCCTACACCCTAAAATTAGAGGTTTGCAAGTAGCTGGCAGTTTCACTTCTTCGGAGATTTGGTAGACATAGACTTTGTGCTTGATTTGCTTATCTTTATTAGCCAGTTTTGCATTCTAGTATCAAATTTGCCTCAACTCCCCAAAGCAAACTTTTATAGAGCTATAGGAGCTGTTGAAGCAATATTTTTCACATGATTTCAAAATGAAGCCCAAACTGTTCCAGGTTTTACAAGTCTAGTCTGACAGCTCACTTGAAGATTAACCAGCTATGCCAGCATTACTTGAAAATCTTCCCAAATCTTCTGATTGATCTGAATGTAAATTCCAGGCTGACAGTTTTGGACTTTGGGAGGAATGTATTCAGTTGCAAGGGAGATGGAGCAGGCACTATCTGATGTGAATTGAAAAATTAGCAATTTACAGAGAACACACAGAAATGAAATTTCAGTAAAATTGGCTCAGTTACACATTCTTGGGCAATTATGGAGGTGTCAGCATTGCTGTGCAGAGGATGATACCTATTGGCACACAGGCAATTCCTGTATCGCCTTTCAAAGTATTTCTTCAGTGTGGAAACTCCTCTGCATTGTAAAATGAAATTTATAGATTGTTACAAGTGAAAAAGATGTCAAAAGAAACAGAAAATCCTAGCTAGTCACACAAGGTAGCATCAGGAAAAGTAACCGTGACAGGAAAGGAGGGGTAGCTCGTAATCTTGAGCCATGAGTTTTGCCCAAGAAGTTTTAGAACAGGGAAGTCAAACCAAAAGGCGAAAGGTTTTTCCAACTGTGCCTAAAAAAATTAGGAGTCCGTGTATCCACAACTGTTAAGTTCCCGGCTGGGTTGTCATAGATGTGACTAGCAAAGACATTCAGAGGCTCGTTTGTGAACACTGAGCAATTTGAAATAAAATCTCTCTTCTGAAAATCATTGGAGGAGACCTAGAAAGCTTGCAATCTTCACACATTAATGCCTTCTACAGCTGTTAATATACGTTATATTGACAGTTCTGTAGTAAAGCGTATATTTTCTCTGAAAAGCCATGAGTTTCTCTTATACCCAATTTAAAACACACTTTCCAGATTAATTTATAGATTTCACTGGCCAGTTTAGCTCAGCTTCTTAATTGTCAGTGGTTTTGCTTTTAGTTTTGCAGCAAGCTTTCCCCATGATAAAAATACGTAAATTTAGCACAAACAATGTCACAGTAGTTTGCTCCTTCATCGTACAAAGATAAAACCCAATTAAACTTACCATCCTAAAATATTCTGCTAAGTCATCTGGGTTCCACGCAACCACATCTGAACGGTAGGGAATGTTTCGCAAATCCATTGTAAGCTTTCTTCTCTAGGCAGTTAGAGAACGTTCATAGCAGTACTATCGATGAAACGGCCATGTATTCCCTGTATGCGACCACCTCCAGCGTGCCCAGTAATTCCTTGCCTAATGCCCAGCTGCTTCTGTTTAAGTCCTGGGTTTTTTTCAGTTTAGACCGACGTTGTTAGGACATCCAGGAGAGATACTGCTTCCTCTAATACAAAATGGTCTCTTCTCAGAAAAGTCAGCTAGTCAGCCTTACCACTTCCTTTGTCTGAATATAAATAAGTAAACAAGGAAGCACAGCAAAAAGTGTTGAAAATGTTCTGCCTGCTACATGTAAGTAAGCCCCTATGGGCCCTATTTGCTTGTAATTGCATACATAAATATTTACGTATTTACACACTCCATACAGTATAAAAATATTGGCATATTATCTGCATAGACACTGCTTACTGCTTCGGTGCAAGTCTAGCCCAGGCAAGCCCCCCTCTAAAGAAGAAAACGTTCACTTAAGAGAAACTTCTTCAACTTATCTCACTACCTGAAGTGTCACATCGTCTTTCTTTGACTTGTACAACAATAAAAGGTTATTGCTGGAGTTGTACCTAAGGAGGTATGCATGAATTAGGGATGGAATTATAGTCAGCATTCCTTCAACTAAGGAATCTCTCTGTGAAACTAAAAAATGGACAAGCTTAGAAGAAAAATTATTACATTGTCATTTTTCAGCTACCTGTAATGAGGATTTTTGTATCTGAAAAAGAATCCACAGAACCGTAATATTACCACAGGGACATGATAGACTGCATCTGTCATGTATAGCCAACTCAGGCACCATCCTATCAGTAGGTCCCTTTGGTGAGACTGCATTTACTAATTCCAAATGTGCCTGTTTTTTAAAAATAGCCAGCATGTCCAGTCTCCCTTTTCTTGATGTGGAGCTTCCTCTCACAGTTGTTCCGGTATGAATGCTTGGGCTCACGGTTCCTATCTGCTCCAGCAGACTGCGCAAGAGGTGGTATTTTGTGAGCTCCCTTTATCAGTAAGAATAGATGCATAGTTCTGAAGCACTGGAGAGGAAAGTTTCTCTTCTTTCTAATGAAATGCATCACTCACTATTTCTAGTCATTGGAGACCTTCTACCTTGGGTCTGTAATTTGCAAGTGCGTTGCATATGAGTGGATGTATTTGAGATCATATCTGCAAGTCTCTATAGTATTGTATATGAGTTTTTCTTTTGAAATTCACAGCCTGATTTAAAGTAGCTTACTTTTTCTGGAGAAATTTTGGTAAACGATGGCAGTGTGGTATTTAAAACTCTAAAACTAAACTGCTGTAACAGCTGTTCTAAACAGTGCAGCATTTATCAAACACACGAGATAGCTGTGTTTTATGGGTTCCTGTTTGAAATGACCTGTATGAATCATCTGAGGCATGTACTGACAGTAGCACAGAAATATCTCCTCTCCTTCATTGTTAATTTAGATCTGGGGACAAAACAGGACTAAATTAACTTGTGACAAAGAATCCCCAAAGGAGAAGTTGTTTTGATGGTGCATTATCAGCAGTGGTAAAGGGGAGATTACACAGCATACATCTCAGACACCCAATCACACGCCACGCCTTTCAACAGAGAAACAAGTTTCTTACAGTACAGAGACAGGAAGAAGCCTGTGCTATAATTTCTAATTGTTCGTTCTATTACAGTATTTCATTACCTTCTAATCGAATTTCTATCCCAAATCCAGCATAGCAGCTCTAATTTCAATTGTGTTATTCCTTATTTGTGCTAATATAAAACTAATTAGTCTAGTCAAAATTTATTCTGATGATAGAGAAGAATCATACCATCATTTATTCTGATGCTGAGATAGGAGAAAAGCAGTCACCTTTAAAGTCAATCTCCTAGTCTAGAGAGCAACTGACACAGAAATTCTAACACATTTATCTAGTCATTTGTATTTGCTTGGATCCTGTCTATGTCACTGTGAGTACATTATAGCTACGTGCATATTTCACGCATTTTGTAAAACCCAGCTGCACACGTACTTGAGCTTTGTCTTTCTCTAGAACTCCTTTTACAATGTGATAAACACATAGGATGTGGTGGCCACGTGAGGCTTGCTGAGGAAAGATCACTTTGTATTTTCTGCATCTGAATTTTCAGATGTACTGCTAGATTAGTGTAACAATTTTAAATTGCATTTCCAACCTAGGTATGTATTTGAACATATCAATGGAAAGTGGTGTTCAACTCGCAAATAACCACGCATGAGTCATGGCCCCCAATCCCAACCAGACTGCAGAGAGTTGTTTTGAAAGATGCTTTTAACTGCTGTCTTTGTGGCCCAGAAATGCAATGTGGCAATATTCCACAAAAGGAAAATCTTGACTGTGCAAAAAAGACCCCACATTATTTCCTCACTCTCTTAATTGTTCTTCTGTTAACTCTTCCCATATTTTCCCACTTGTTTATGATTTCTCTTTCTCCCTTCAGAGTCACTGTTGTTACCCCAAGAACTAACACTTTCTCCCAGGTGCTCCTGTTGCCTCCAGTGTCCTCTGCTCAGAGAGGCAATTTCAACACTGATGGTCACCAAGAAAGGAAATTGAGAGTGAAAAAGTTGAATGTCCACACTTGTGCAAGCCCACATGCCAGAATCCCTGGTCAGATTTGAGTAGGAGTATAAGGGAGGATGGCTGGGAAGCAACCACATCGGCTTTTTATGGAGGAAGACAGAATGACTGCAGGGATAACATTAGGGTAGTTAAATGAACCGCAGCCAACAGACAGGGCCACAGAAAGTGCCTGGGCTAGAATGTCAAATTTGACAGGCTACATGCAGAAATTTGGTTGATAACTAAATACATTTCAGAGGCGACAATCCTAACTGTCTGCTGGGAATGATCCCATGCTTTGTATCTTAGCAGTTCAGTCTTATATTGCAAGAAATGAAGACACAATAAGTAGGCAGCAGAAGATACATCTGTTCCATAACGTAATTTGTTATATACTTCAGTTGGCAATCTGCCATGAAATGGATTTTAAGCTCTTAGGTTTTCAAACGCTGAGGAACATTGACATTACAACTATTGTCACGTGCATACCTTTTCCGTTGTGACCTTTTTTTCCCTCTTTTTAAAGAATTAGATCTGTTATAGCTGATGCCTGCAGTGATACAACCTTCACATAAAAAAATGTGTCTTTTCAAATAGCAGCTGCCAATGGTACAGTTCTTTGAGCGGTGGTCTGGTGACTGATCTTTGAAAATGTGAGAGCCTAACCATTTCAGGCACCGCAGGAGGGAAATTCACACTGCCCACATTCTGCTGCCTTCAAAAAGCCTCAATATTTTCCGTTTTCTCTCACCTCTTTCTGGTGGTGTTCTGTCCCACAGCACCCTGTTTTAAGCGGAGTGGCTTACTTTGAACAGCTTTCAGAATGGCTTATTTTTCTAGAATAACTCCGTGTACATGTCAGTTTTCCTAGAGTGAAGCAAAAAAAGTTCAAACTTCATAAGAATTTAGTCTTCATGTTCATCTCAGTCCCAAAGCAAAGTGGATCTTTATGACATATTTTTCTTTTGCCCTGCCCAATTTTGTTTTTAAAAGACTTGGGTACTTTCTTCCTTTTATCCTGGGAATATTTACCATTGCCAGCCTATATTTGCTCTTTTAACATTGCATGCCTTATTCCCAAGCTCTATAGCTATCACATGGAAAAAAATGCTTTCATTTTTATACCCTTTAAAAATCACCAGGGTATTGTTATATATTCCTTGCTGTCTTCAGTAACCACTGAGCCGCTTTCTACTCCTCAGACGTCCTTATCCATTATTTCCTTAGTTCTTGTGGTCAAGTGTTAGCCTTGACTTTGCAATGTCTGTGCATTAATACAAGATCCAAAACTGAGTCTTTGCCAACTTGAAGCAGCTCGTTCGCAGGGCTGGAACTACGGGTCTCCCTCACCACCTAGCGGCCGAGTCACAGCCCGACCCCAACACCAACTGCTGCTGGTGTCAGGAGCAGGGATGGACACTGAATTGCTGACACTCTACCAGTTTGATACTGGGGTTATATATATGGCACTTCAATGGGACTAGCAGTCGAGGTAGATGCTAACCAACCTACCTGCATCTGAAATATATGGTTTGAATAAAACCGTGTCTGAGATACTGGCTTCAACTCCAATTTCACCAAAAAAAAACATTTCTGCGTACTTTCTGAACTCAACCCTCAGCACTGATTTTCCTGGACGGAAAGAAAATGTGCATACTTGAAGAAGCATGTTTTCCATTGTTAGTGAATTGTGTTACTTTGAGTAGATGGAAATATGGAGTTTCGGCCATTCCAAAATGCCTGAAATCCTAGAATACAGCCACTAGAGTGCAGCTGAACTCTATTCAGAAAACAGAGAGAGAATCAAATGCCTATTAAGGTGCTGTAAAAAAAAGGCAAGTAGTAACAGATATTCTAGCGAGCACTGTTTTTTCAGTACATATTTTATTCCATTCTGTTAGGGCCGTAAGTGGCATAACATGTTTAGTTTGTCTAGAGATGCTGCAAATAAATGCAGAGGAGAACACCTAGCAGACCTTAGAAAGGATGTCTACTGAGGAAAGATTGAAAAAAAAGTTTTGGTTAGTCTGGGAAAGGGAAGTCGGAGACGAGGGAAGGAAAAAAGGAGACAAACTTAGTGACTCTGGGTGATAGCGATCAGTCCTTCTCGTGACCTGTGAAAGGCTCTGCTAACAAGAAAAGCAGCTGCAAGCTTGAAAAGTAGGTACGGCAGATTGAAGAACTCTCCTGCCCGGAATTTGGCCTGTTCAGTGCAATTCAACAGCTCAGGTCAAAAACTGCCAAACAGTGCCAGCTGTGCTGTGACTCAGAAGGAAACTAGGTGGGCCAAAAGGACAACTGGAAAGGATGTTCTGTTTTGGATATGATATTCCATTTTAGTACAGTGTCTAGTATGCCTACTATTGAACTTCTCAGATTGCATTTTTTTGGTG